ATGAAAAAAGGAAACACGCTCATTTAACGACACTTTTTAAATTACTTACATTGTATTGCTTCCTATAATATATTCTGTGAACATTGCTCTGTGTAATCAAGCAGTAGTGTCCAGAATTCTGGTACTAAGCCAGCATTTTTCTGGAAGGACTGAAGAAAACAATGAAACCCTCGGGATAGACAGTCTCCAGAGTTGGGAGTAGAACCTGGAACCTCTCAAACATGAAGCATGAACGTTAACTGTTCATTCAGATGTTATTTAATGCCCCCACAGCAGATATTTCGTCAGATGTTTGTTACTTGTATTGCAGTTGAGAAGGATCGTCACAATGAACCCCTCAGGAGGCTGTACGCCTGCATCTGGCAGTGGAGGCACAATGCTACGGATGCTGGGTCCAGTTCAGAAGAGAGAAGTAAAAGCCACGCAGAACCTGTCCATCATTGTGCTATTCTTTATCATCTGCTGGATCCCACTGTACACTATCAACTGTGTGATGGCATTCTGCCAGGACTGTTTCATCCCTCTTGAGCTGACCAACTTCTGTATCATCTTATCCCATGCCAACTCGGCTGTGAATCCGCTGTTGTACGCCTACCACTTGCGGGACTTCAGAGCTGCTCTCAAGAACTTGCTTTGCTGTTTATTTGGCAACAAGGGAGACAGTGCAGGCAATGATCTCCAAGGCAAGTGTTTTTGTATCAATGTTTTAAATTCTTTGACATATTTGTTATTTTGGGCATTGTTCATTCTCTGACATGCTGGGAGTTGGCTACGTTCTCAAATGGTCATGTCTGAGGCAATTACTTCAACATTATTTGTATATATTAAATATATATCATAAAAATCCTTGTAACCACAGATTGGAAGAAGTTGCGTAATTAGGGTTTTATAAAATGTCTGTCTCCTAGATTGTTGCGCCGTGTAGTCTAGTACAAGTATCATTGCCCTGGTGATGGAGGAGAAAGGACCTCAATGTCGGTAAATTTCTACTAGACCATGTGATGCAACAACCCAGAAGAGTGCAATATTCGAAACATGTACCCCCAGACAGTAGGCAGTATGCAGTGTATGTAAAATGTAATGAGTCAGTCATTGTTAAAACCCTCAAAGAATTATTTCATGCTAATTCTACTCCTTCTGTCTTATGTGCTTTAAAGTCAGCATTTGAAACTGTTAACACCCATCCTGTTCTCTTTACAGTCCTGGTTATGTGGTAGGTTTTGAAGATATTATAACGAACTAACTAACTAACTAGATGGCTTACCGAACCCGAAGGCTCATCACCGAATTCACCAATGCCCTCCATCGGACCCTGTCCTGGGCCAACTAAATCCAGTCTCCTTCAACTCCTATCTCCCATAGATCCCACCTGACATTATCCTCCCATCTACATCTAGGTCTCCCCAGCAGTCTTCCCCTCAGGCTTCCCGGCCAATACCCGGTGCACACCTCTTGTCCCATCCATGCGCGTTACATGCCCCGCCCATTTCATTTTTCTGGACTCAATCACCCTGACAATACTGGGGGAGGAGTACAGATTTTTAAGCTCGTCATTATGCAGTTTTCTCCATGTCCCATCGTCTTCTCTCCTAGGCCCAAATATCCTCCTCAACACCCTATTTTTGAAGATATTATCTTCTAGTATGGCTCTCCGGTCCGTGTTCGGTCCATGGCCTCCTCAATTCTCCTCTTCCATTGGGTCCTCTGTTAAGTCCGTCTGTCCAAGGCTTTGATCAAGGTTTTGAAACATCTTCCATTTTACGGTGCAAGGTTGTTAGCCTTGCGACCAACCCCCAACCTGGAGGACCAGGGTACCTGTCTGACCTCTCCCTAGGGAGGCCCTACCAGTAGCTATGCTACCGCCAGCATAGCTCTTGGGGTCTCTGAGGTACTCAAGCCCCACCACCACGACAAGGTGCAGGTACCATTAAGTGGAGTGAAGATATTATAGTCCATATATTTGACAGGCTAGTTGTTTTGCTCGTGATGCTCACACACTGCCATTTTCCCTGTCCAAATACAAAATAAGATTTGCAGTTACACTAATCATGTTGCTTTTTGTGTTGCAGATCGTAGGTTTGGTTCACACACCTTTCATCAGCATGGGGTGAACACACCTACACGAAACAACAGCATGCAGTCACTGCAGCAAATAAGGGCTCCACAGCATCTGCAGCTGTATCCAGACTTCCCTACAGTGACCTCCAAGATCGCCAGCAGCAGCAGCACAGCCTCTGGTCTGAATGCACCCTTGCCTCTCAGAACAGTAATAGCCAACATGAATAGCATCCACCAGGTCATCACAGACCTACCCCTTGGCGAGGACACCGCTGATGATCGGCGCGGGCGCAAAAGGATGTGGACACTGACTGAAGTGTCATCAGCTTGTGAAGATGATAAACCTGCCAGCAATGGACATCTGGCGTTGGAACACAATGGTGACAGTTGTGTTCAGAGAAGGAGCGGCACGAATCGGACATCAGGGCAAGTGAACTCTGCTTACATTGAAGATGCTATTGTGTTGGACTACGGTGAAGATGACGACGACGATGATGATGTTTTTTTATCAGAAACCATAGCAACATTGTCACCAAATAGGACAGGTTTTAGTGAAAACATTGTGGCAGAAAATAGAACTGAAATTATTAGAAGTTTTGGAAAATTGTTGGTTACTGACCAGCCTAAGGAACAATTTGAACTTAGTGTAAGGCAAAGAAGATCTGTATCAAGCAGACATTCAGCAGATAAAGATTTTCCTGAGTGCAGCAGCCAGTTGCACTGGCCGTGTAGTCTTATAGTCGATAATGTCGATATAAGTAACAGTTCCCTGGATGATCATGACAAGACTGAACTGTCCCCGTCTCGCTGCAGGATGAAGGAAGTTATTGTAGCCAACAGTGATGGAATCACTTGTAATGGCGCAAGAGTTTTGAGGTTAGGCTCTGAGAATCGTGTTGATAAACCTGAAATCAGTGAAAATAATAGAAGTTCCACTAATTCTGAAAACCAAAGACTTAGCCCCTTGAAAATTATGGGTGAATTTTTGTTCCATACTAACAAATCAACTCTTTTAAAAGAAGAAGTTTTAGATGAACCGTGTATGTTACTAACAAAAGATGTTGAATCTAAAGACTCCTGTGACTCTCAGAGATTACAAGATTCAGACACTGGCTCTGTAAGCCATATCTGTGAAGTGACTAAACATTTGGATGATATGATGACTTGATATGCTGTCATATTAGCTATGCAATGAGATGTGTAAATGTATTCCTTCTTCTGTCTAAATGTGTTTGTCATTCTAAAATGTGAATCATATATAAGTGGTTTGCCATGACATAATAAATCACGTTTTCTTTTTCTGATACACATGGCTGTCAGTACAGAATAAAATCCTAAATATAATATGGCATATCTTATAACAAAAATGTGCTATTATATAAACCAAAATATTTAATGTTTGCAATATCAAAGAATGTAATGAAGTAGTAATATTAATTAACTGTTTTTAAATGTCTTGGTGTAGATAGGATTTAATGGTGGCCACAGCATACTCTATATGAGAAACAACTGTGTCAGTACTTTTTAGGCATTTTTCACACTAAGGAAATTTAACATCTAACTGGCCCATATGTTACGAACTGCGTACATTTCCTCTTACATGTATCCAGCTTAATATAAGGGCGTAGGGAAAAGGAACATTGCAGTGCTTTCCTGTGTTGTAATGTCATGGAAACAAATTCACAACCCAAGTCACGATGTAACCACTGACTACCGTTCAAATTGTGCGCCGCGGAATTCGGAATTGTCTTTGGAGATCTTTTACGTAGTGCCATCTCGTGACAAAGGCTGAACCCAATACTACTATATACACACAAACACACACAGCAGCGCCACAGAGAATCAACATCTGGTGAATTTTTAGAATACGAGTAGGGAATGTATGCAAATATTGTTGGCTATAGTGAAGTAACGCCGTGGACAAGCTGCTGTCTTCGTTTGGTAGTGTTAAACGAGAACATAAACTTGAAGAACTGGTGTTGCAAGATGATGTTGTTATGTGTCTAAGTTCTGACTTAATTTCCCAGAACTGACTAATAATTTTACTCAACGCTAAATTTTTAAATAATTATGTTGGCTGTCATTTGGAGACATGCTTTGCAGAACTTCCATATTCGTTCTTCTCCCTGTGACTTTATTATTTAGTAATGTAAAACATTTGTATTTCATTTCTGTGATATAATATTTCTGTCAGTAGTTGGGAATTGAGTTTTAATTCATTGTGACTGCCGTTTAGAATTTATTATTTCATCAAGGCGTAGTCTCACGACATTCCGTTTTGGCGATCTTTCGTAATTGATAGGGCAGTTGGTAGCGTAAGCGTTTCAACAAGGGTAGTAGATATTGTGATCGCAGGTGTTTTGTTTGTGACATTTCTAAGAAATCTGGATGAAAAACCCAGACGCAAACCTGTGTGATTTTGGATTCCAGGACACTTATTCGTATTCAGGTAAGGCGCATCTGGATGGAGTGTTTGTTACCATGTTTAAAACAAATTATTCCCTAAGTAAGCTCTTGAGAGACGTTTATATATTATTGCATTTAGAGTGTGTGTTACATAAATTTTTGTATCATATATGTTCATAAGGGCCCCTTTTGAGTTTATCAGTAGTTGTTCAGTAATTTTCCACCTCCAATTAAAAGTTTAAAAAATGATATAAATGTATTCAAGTCTGCATTAGAAGTTTACTTCTTAACTCACTCCACCTCCAGATGATTTTACCTCTGTTGACAATTCTTAAGCTTTATGTATATGTGTCTGTGAAATAAGGTTGTACTTACGTTGAAAATTCTTAAGTATGTGTATATCTCTATTTAAAATGATACATCTTTTGGTTTAGCCCAAAGATGGATGAATGGAGTGTAAATAAACTCCAACTCTGTAGCTGTTTTTAAAAGTGGGTAGTTTTGACTCATCTTGCTTACAGTTGTTCATGTTTATACTTTTCATGATTTGCACACAGTAGCACATACTGCTTTGTACCTGGTTTGTAAAGTTGATTGTGGGTGTCAGTTCATAGAAGAAACCATAGTTGACTAGATTAATGGTGTTTGAGTTATATTTATTTGATAAAATCTACTTTTTCCGTTTGGAAATTGTGAATCTGCAGAAATGGGCAGTACTTTTGATTGTGAACATAACCAGCCTTGGGTATGGAAGAATGGTGGAAGAGTAGTTTGTGCAATCGCTTACTTGGAATAATCAGAATAGCTTTTACAAGAGGGAGGAAAACTAAACATAATCCACACATTTCTCAGCTATATATTTGATTACTTTTTCTTGGAATTAAAGTGTTCTGAGATCTAACATTAGCTTCCTGACTAGCGCTTTTGGTAAATTCTGATATTTTGTTGTGTCACAAAATTGAAACACAATGAAGCCGCTATTCTCATGCCAGAATTGAAACATTACATAATCTGGTGTGATTGCAGATATGGGAACCTGCTTACAAAGATCATCTGTTGAAAAGTACTGTATATGCTGTTGTCCTTCATGAAATCACACTTCAGTTTAGAAAGGAGAAACATTTTCAGTGTTTGTGTACAGAAATGAGTAGCAACATATATACCATTTTTGACAATTCAGAATATTATAGATGCAGGTGGCCCTCAAACTTATATTAGATTACTTTAATTGAAAAGCTAATGTAAGTCAAGACTGGTTTCCCAGAGAAACATTATGGCAGGTCATTAATTTCTTAACTTGTGATGCATTATGAATATAAATATGATATATTTAAAGTGCTACAATTATATATAAATAACAGTGTTGTTTGAAAAGTTCCTGCCTTTATGCCATGTACTTCTGGCCTAATTGGTATGTATATTTGCAGTAGCATACAGAATTGCTGCAAAGAAACTGAAAGTAATTAAACACCACCATCATCATAACCTTCATAATGAATTTTATTACATTTAAATTTTGAAAAGTTGGTCTGAGGAGTCTCGAGGCAATTTGATGGCCTGCCATATAATTTCTTTTTTGTGTATTGCTTTTACATTATCCATGTCTATTCTTTAAAATGAAGAAGAAGAAGAAATTACATTTTCAAAACTCCTGCTTCTGCCTTCAGTTAAGGAGGTACTCTGTAGGACACATCAGATAAATCTCATTGATGAAGGCTAGTGGCAGATATCATTGCATACAGAATTTTATTCAACAGTCTTTTCCCAAGGTTAGCTCCACATATGGATGATATTATTGGGGTCCTCATTGCCTGTCCAAACAAGTCTAAACCTCTCCAAATGTGTCAAAACCACAGCAAACCTGTGAAGTCTAGTTTATGAGACTAAACTGTAAACTGTTTCTACTTGTAGAGACTTGTCATAACCTACAGCCTCTATCCCCAATCAGCCGAACCAATTTAATATGTGCATTTCCTATTCCTATAAGATCAGCTGGCACTGTTTTAATCCTTTGGGCCTTTACTGATTTGGAATTCTGAATTCTTTATATGTTTGGTATGGTTCCTTAGAAGGGATGGAGGCCATCGTGAGGCCTACTTACACAGGACTGGGTAACATTAAACACGCACGTATTTTCTTACTTGTCAATGTTAGTTTTATTCTTCTATAAGTTGAAAACCTTCAATAAATTATCACTTTACATGTCCTCCTTCCAGCCGCTTCTGCATAGTTATGATTGCCTTGACCTAGTTAGTTCTGTTCTTCAGTCAGTGGATTTATTTTATGTTCCTGCTTTACCAGTATCTATGAACATGAAATTCTTTTGAAGTAGATAGGTGATCTCAATCAATGTAGAAGTTGATCCCCGAAAGAGAATTCTTCCTTACTTCTGACTTTGGCTATATTGTTTCTGCAAACGATAATGTTATGAAATAAAACAAAAAAGAATATTATTGTACATGTAACTGTAATTTTTTTTTATTTTATGTGTATAATTTTGATTGAGAAAGGGTGTTTAGAATAATATTTGGATCAAGGAGGGATGAAGTAATGGGAAGCTGGAGAAAACTGCATAATGAGACACTTCATAATTTGTTCTCATAACCAAATGGTATTAGGGTGATCAAATGGTGTAGATGGGCAGGGTATGTAGAGGCCTTGAGAAATGAATACTGACAAAATTCTGGTTTGAACGAATGCTTACGTCTTTGCAAAACAAGTCTGTGTTGGTGAAGGCCTTAGTTTAGATCCTCATTGTCTTTTGAAAGTAGAGAGGCTGCCATCAATCGACCTTTCATATCCAAGTGAAAGTTACGTCAAGTTATTTCATGTAACGTTTTCAGTCTTGCAATTCTCTCAGGTCTCAAGAACACACTGAAAGCAGCAGTCTTCCTTGGGTAGGTGGCATTTAACTGGGTATTAACTGCTGTTATGGAAATTCCTTGAAGGATACTACAGTGGCCTATGCATGTTAGGGGAGTCAAATGCGTACAGAATGTATGGAAGCGGCAACTGGGAAGGCCGCCGAGGCGATGGTGAATTACTTTGCCATCCACTAAGGTTAGAGGTCTTTAATTACAACTGCGTTTGTTTTCCTTCCAGGGGTTTCAAAATTGAAGTTTAAGTCTATAGCCCCTGACCCGATTTCTATAAGATTCATATTAATGCTGCCCTCCCATCTACGCCTAGGTCTTCCAAGTGGTCTCTTCCCTTGAAATATCCCATAAACAATTTTGAAGGAGTGTCTCGTTCCTCCATGCCTGCTTCATGCTATCTAAATATCGTCTTTAACAATTGGCGAAGAGTGCAGATTATGCACCTGCTCATGAAGTTTTTCCCACCTCTTCAATCTTCCACCTTTTGTTCCGTGTTCTTCCATCAGCTTGAGAGATAAAGTTTCACGTCCAAGCAAAACAAATGTGAAAGTATGCTTTTGTATATTTTAATTATCATAGTTTAAGTTAGCAGACTGGAAGTCAGATTCAGAATTGCAGGGTAGCAAACAATCCCAGCATTTGAATTTCTCTTTATTTTATCGATAATGAAGTTTTATTTGTTGCTGTTATTCCCAAATATTTTAACTTCGCCACATTTTTACAGCATTTATTCATTATGATTTCCTAGTATTAGTTTTTCGAATTGGTGCAGGCTCTTGAGCTCATGAGTGTGGTTGGTGTCCACACTTGAGAATCTCTGGTTTGAGGTACATGTGCATCATACCTGAACCAGGACGAGTTTTTTTTCGGAAACCTTTCTCTTTGTAAAAACCGAAAACTGAGAGGTTCCGTTAGCTAGGCGGAGTCAGTCTGACCAAGCAGGTAATCGTGATGGCCTCAATACCGTCCGTTTGCAGTAGGAAACGTTTCGTCACGTCATCAGTAAAACAACTATGTTACACGTGGATTGATATGACTCGGGTTTGCATATTTAACATCAGCTCCAAGTGTATTGCTGATTACTGTTTATCGCACTCGGCAATGTTCAAGTGTGTAGCTGTGAGCAGAATGTGTCATGAATCGGAAAGGAAGTTGCCGTGGCCGGTTCATAATTACGTCCTTGAATTCGTTTGGAGGAACAGCACAACCGTACACTGCCTCAGGATATGAAACGAGGTTTTCGCGGTGCTGAGGATGATGATGTTCTTCTGGGCTTTGGCCTACGTTCAGCCCTGAAGATGGAGACTTGTTTATCCGAAATGTTGGTATCTACCGACGAGTTCACACGGCCCCGGGACTGAGAACAATGTCGTCTTCCTCACCCGGTTATTTCCTTGGCTTATGACCTGTACCTTTCCTGTTTTCTGCCGTCCAGTCAGAGTGTGTTTGGTGTATTATTCATTCCGTTTATCTATTTCTAATAGTGGTACTGTTGAAATTGGATGGCAGATGTCAAGAAACATCCGGCGACCATTTGAGGCGTGAATGAGCAAGGAGGCAATCGTGACATTTGTTTACTGTTGTAGGATTCCGGCGAAAGAACTGAGGAAGCCCACGAAAAACGTCAGTCGGTTCCAGGCCGGACTGTGGAATGCGATTTCGTATATTACAGTTATGTTGGACTTCGACTGTTTCCCAAAGTATATTTAATATTCAGGACGTTTCGGCTGTACTGTCGCCAGGTTATATTACTGACGGACATGTTGTTATGCGATGTGGAGGGATAAATTTATATTACTGGCAGCAGTCTCGTGCAGACAATGGAACCTGCTTATAACAATATCTCAGACGACCTGCCTGCAAATTTTTCTATTTCACACGGCTACTTCTAGTCAAACTTTTGCGCAATACGTACCCGATTCAGATCTCAGCTTATAAATTTCCTGTTTCCTGGCAGTAGATGTTTTCATATTTCCCTTCCTTTCTTACTGCACGTTTTAGGTGCGTTTTCGGAAACCTTTCATGCTGTCACGTCCTTTACGTTCGCCGGTGTTAACGCCCGCTCGAACTCGTGATAGACCAACCCTAAGTTTTGTCGAGTTTTTCTGAGTCCAGTTCTGCTCGTTTTAATAACCGCTTTATTGTAGGGCCTGGATATTGATTGAATTTCCACACATGACAGTTATTCATTGTGATTCATTTGCAGGATCGCTTGATTATAATTAACCAAGAATTGTATGTGGATTTAACTTGCATCCTCTGAGTATTTACGAATTTTTATTAAACTTGATATTGTCCATTTTTAATATGAGTATTATGTTTTATTGACGGTTCTCTGTGAACTGTCACATATAATATTCAGACATTTGACGGATGTTAATGAAAGTCATTAAGACTATTACCGTCTATAAAACAATGCAGTTTTAATTAGTTTTGAAGATCACTTGACAAATGCTATAGGAATTCATAAAATAATCTGCTGTGTATCGTATAATAAATATAGAAAGTTCACTGATTTCCATATTGTCACTGGCAGTATGGTAACAGTACCTATTAAGTGCCATCGAAAGCGTTGTCTGAACTCCAGCTGTCGCCCTGTTTTGTAGCCCAGGTCAGCTTGATTTCGCCTTGAATAGACGTAGACAGCCAAGAGACATCAGACGTGAAAGAAAGCTACTCCCCCCTCCCGCACCAAGGGCATGTTTGTGGAAGGTGTGACCTAATTTTGTAAAAATTGTGATTGAAATGTTCATTTTTCGGTCGAATTACAAGTAATACATCGAGGAACAGAGTTATTTGAACAGAACAAAATAAAGTCTTTATTATTTTTGTATTATTTGAGGTTCTCATGGCGAAGGTGATGTCGATGTGTATAGGGCATCTTCTTCCGAAACGTTGTTATTGATCTACAAGTCCACACAGTGGCATTAATGCACAGGAAACCAATAGGGATTATTTTCAACGTTAAACACTTCCTGTTTGTTAGATACAATTTCAAATTGGTTTTCGCTTTGCATTCTCGTAGACCCGTTTTCGATGGGTTTGCTAATTTTAAAACCACATATTGGGTTAACTCAAAACCCGTTTCTTCATGCAGTCTGAATTTTCTTCTGCTGTTTCGCTCGATGAATCATGGTGCTTAGCAGAGTAGGCCTAATATAGCTGTCGACTAGTTAGTTTGTCGGAACAATTATCCACTGCAACACGCCTTGCTTACTCTGACGCGGTCTGTCCTTCAGATATCCCCGCAGTAATTTATTTCTTAGTATGTGCCAGCTGGAAATGCGAATTGCAGAAAGTGAGACTATTCCGATATCTTCGTCTTAACGGATCCACTCAAATTGGAGGGTGCTAGGTTACCGATTTGTAGTTTGTTTAACGACACTGTATAATCTGTCTGATACTTGAACCCGAAATATCTGTTCCACAAATACAAAAGCAGGGTATTTGCCATCATCTTGAGCCCGTTTCATCTATCTTGCACTCACAACCTGTTTTATCGTAATGGTTCTGCTTTAGGTTTGTGGCAGTGGTTGATCCATCATACCAGTGTTGTGTTGGAATTTGTCCACTGTGAGGTATGTTGACGTTTTGGGTCTTGTCTCTGGTCCCGTCTTTGTGATAACTTGTCATAATACTGACAAATTTCTTTATCTTGGGATTGGTGTTAACAGTTAGGATCGACCCTGTGACCTTCGTAACACTGGATTAGAATAATAAAAAAAACCGTGGGTATAATCACAATTACTCGGAGACGTCTTTATGCTCTAGTCATGCCGTGATCGAGTTGTTGGCATCCCTGCTTTTTATTAGCGAGGTTTGAATCCTGAGCCCGAGGTCGCCTGTTCTGTGTGGGGTTTTTGTGGGTTGCCACAGTCCAGGGAAGGGAAACTTAACTTCAAATCGCTACAAACTCTTCCTTCCACATACTCTCAAATCGACTATTCATACGACCAACTTGCTATGCAGTTAAACAAAAACGTTGTTAAATAGCTGAAAATCAGTCCGACATGCTCTAATGTTAGGCGGTGATTAACCTTCGGGTTCCACAAAGGCAAGGAATTTCTTGACCATCTGAATAGCTTTAAAATCGGTACCCTGGAGATTTCTTTCATTGAGTGCCCATTGTGATGTTCTGGTATGAGGAAATACCTCGCATCGCACTTCTTGTCCGTTCTTAATTGATGAATCTGGCTGTGCCTTCATTGTCTATCAGTTGGCATTTCTGTGAATCCGCTATTTTCTGGACACTGACCCCTCTGAGGGAGATTTACTTACACCGGAAAGAGGGCAATTCCATTGCTCTCTCTCTCTCACCCTGCTTCCGTTCGCCTTCACTTGTCTGCGGAAGCATTTTCGACTCCATATTCCGACGAAACCCCAGACCACAACTGCAGCCTGAAATATGGAAAACCCATATAAGATGTGGATTCTGATGATACAGAAAAATGTTTTAAACTAACGTTACGTACTTATACGGACCAAAATGAAATTCGCTCGACAACTTTTGGCATAAAGATGGCTACCTTGAGGGCTGTAGCGCCGTGTAGTATTGCAGACGTTTCGGAGATACTTGCTGCCTATTGTCCATCCTTTCCGCGATAAGTGATATGTCGTTAAAATTCGCTAAATGAAGCTAATTTAAAACGTGCAGACATACAGACGCACATTGGTCACCTTTTTTTTTCTGGATTTCACACAGGCACACCTAATCTTTTGGCAACAAGAGCAGTAAAATCGGGTATTGCCATTTCTATTGTTTGGCTGTGTTTTGTGCGCTTAACAATAGTTGAACGTTGCGTCATTGTTTGAAAGTGACGTAGAACTTTGCGTCATCATAAGAAAGTCACTACGATCTTTCTACTACGCCAGTGGGAAGCTCAAACACGTTCAGTCCGTAGCACGATGTCACGAAGCAGGTTGTGAGTTGTCTTCAAGTACTGGGTGGTGTTAATTGCATTGGAATCCTGAATAGCCTACCTGAAGGTAAGCTGTTAATGATAGTGTAAGTTCTGATTCTCTCGTCTTTCGGCACACCCGTTGTCAATAGATCGATCAGAAAATATTTAAACCAAATATGCAGCTTCTGAATGCGGACTTTAGAAGTACTGAACATTTATTTAGACAACTTTTTTTAATGAAAATCTTTGTAAGCAATTCTTGTGTATGAAACAACAGTGATCTTCGTATATGTTTCTGGAAGGTATAAATTTCCCATTGTATTTTGTTACACACATAACATTTCAAGAAAGTGTTTTAACTAAGTTGATAGATTTTAAGGAAATGTATGCTTTACCCATGTTCATAGTTTCGTGTTGTAGCTTTATGTGAGGTATTTTATAGGTTCGATTTGAGCTTTGCTTAGAATAGGAGTTGCGGAGGCTGTGGCGATTGAAATTTATTGGCCGAGGACAGGGACCGGTAGAGGGCTTTGGCTAATTCGTTGATGAACCTTCGGGCTCCGTAAGCCATCTAGTTAGACAGTTTAGTTGCAGTTGTGCCACGCTTGGAACCAGTGGGATAGGGGGCTGGGTGAACCCAACAGCCTGTCTAGATGTGCTAGCTGAGAGAAAAATCTTTTGCCCCTGATGGGAATCGGTTCCCGGCCTTCCAACCAGCAGCTCCATCACATCCTCTTGATAGGTTTACATTTAGTGATGGAACCTGCAAGTAATATTTTTGTTAGGTTGCCAGTCGTCATCGCGAGTATTTGGGACTGCCCTTAATTGAATTTGTTGTCCCTAGAACGCCGGTCGGGATGAATAATTATGTGGTATTGAAGAATAAACTTTGGACATTGAAAGCAAGAACGAGAAATCGTGCATATTTGCTACCGTGACTACTCTTGAGATAAGTGCGTACATGATTTTAGCGGAGAGCTTGTTGGAAAGTGGACACATTCAAGAAAGATGTGGATCTTAGAGAAGTAGATTACGCAAACGAGATATGGATTAAGTCTGAACACCTCGAAGAAAGAGATGTGCGCTTGGATGGACGGATGGTATTAGAATTAAGCTCAAAACATGGGATGTGAAAATGTCTGGATTCAACTGACTGAAGTTGAGGTCCAGCAGTGGCCCTTTGCAAAGACCAGTGAACTTTTGGATTGCATTGGAAGCAGGACTTTTATGACTGGCATACATACATACATACATCTTGCTAGAAGTTTGGCGGAACTGAAAATGCTTCCCTGTGATTTCTGGCAGGGGAAGTGGGTCTTTTTGTTTCACTTTGTCCAGACCGGGTCTGGGCCACTTTTGTTCTCCTTTGAAATGGGTACTGGGGACTATTTACCCGGGATCAGCAGCACCATGAAGCTGACCACTCATCTGAACTAGTGCCGGGGTTTAAGAACCCGCGGATACATACCGCCGCCCCCTATATGCGCCTACATGGCATAATACTTGGGCAGAGACGACTGACTTTGTTGCCGCCAGGTTCTGTCTTCTTTGTTATGTCCTGCACTTTGAAATGTGGTGTCTGTCGGTGGTGCACCCATTGGAGTAGCCTTTCTGTGCCGTCCTCTTACTTCCGCCCGATACAGTTACACAAATACACAAGTATTAATTAGCAGTACTGTTATGGACACGTTAAACAGCGCGATTAGTTTCTCTCTGTCTGACGCCGGTCGTCCTGTGGGGTCGAACCCTCCTGGGACTCCGATGGAAGTGCCTGCCCACCCATTCAGTTTGCTTGCCTGAAGGAGCCATTATCTTCCTTTCTACTTTTGCTGCGTCTTTATCTACATTTGTTATGCGACCTGACCGGGGCATTGGTACCGAAATGAGGAACGAAAGACCTGGCATCCAGGAACTGTCGTTCTCCTGGAGGCTGATAAATACACGTTTACAGGCGGTCGACACTGTGACAGTTGGAAGGAGAAAGTGTGCAAATGAGCGCAAGAGAGTTTCATTTTCTTTTTCATTGAACTGAGCACTGTTTGAGGTCGATAACCCATATAACAAATTGAATGTTAACGTTGTCAGTTCCGTGTATATTTAAAGAGTAACTCATTGACACAGTTTGATAGAGGGTAGAAGCGCTGATTTCTTGTGGATTGTGTCGCCGTAGGCCACCAGCGTCTATGTTCAGTTCTCAATAACACGGTCCTTGTAACAGTTTCTTTCTTTCTCATGCATAGTTATTGCAACAAAGACAGTAACAAACGAGATTTCTACGAAATGAGAAGTGATTGTAGTCGATACAATTGAGACAGAATGGTAATGTGGTATACTGCGTTCCAGCGTTTTTGGCCGCTGAACTTTGTGAATTAGAACCTCGGAGCGAGTCACTTACTAGAAGTTTGCTGGAAGGGATGGCAGCAGGTCGCATACAGTACACTCCAAATAAAATATCACCACGTTATGTAACACAGGAAAGACGATTTCATTACACTACACATCACTGGAGAATTAACACTGCAGAGTGTAGTAGATAATTTTATCTTCTTCACAACTCTTCGGTCCCCTTACAATTCTTCCACTCCTCACAGTCATTCGCCTTCTTACATATCACTCCATTCAACACTACCGCTTCTGCTGTTCACTCCATTATCTTCAATTTTAATACGTTCAATAGCGTCTTCGAATATGCCTTCTTGCTCATAATAAATTTTGTTCTAATTTTTCCACATGCTGACATACATTATCCCATTCCTCTTGCCAAATTTCTTCGAATCTCTGATGACACAGATCCTCGACGTCCTTAACTTTAAATGTTGTGTTCTTGCTTGCAAACCATTGTTTTCAACTGCTCAAATAAGTTCAATGGGGTTTAAATCGGGATGTTACGGCGGAAGTACGTTCTTTGTCTGCTAAAATCTGATCACATAATATTTGTGCTTTGACTTATTTAATTTGATTAAATCGTACAGTTCAGCTTTCAACACGTCACAAAATCGGTTGTTTATTTCCAGTAGCCAGGCTTTCATTTCGTCCTTCTTTGACTAAGACGTCGGTGGTTTGTCTGCCTGAGTGTTGTGATACGAGGCGTTATCAATGACCAGAAAGGAGATTGCAACGAACAGGTGGCATGTTGTTAACACAGCACAGTCACAAGGCAACAGTTATCAGGCTTCCACACTGCTGCACTGACACAGACTGTACTGACCGACGGAAACTCCTTCCTTCCTTCATTGAGTGGTCCGCATACAATTTCAGCGGCCATAATCGGTGGATCCAGTTCTACGTGCGGTTTTGACGGTTGCCTGAAGTAATCAAATCGAATTTTACCTGGATTTCTCAAGGAAGACGAAAACACAGTAGACATAACAAATGAGCGTGAAGAAATGGGAGCATGAAGTCATGAGAATGAAGATTACGAAAACAGGATTAAATTCAGACCAGGAAGTGACAGACAGTGTATGTTGTGAACAAGAGGTCTTGAGAATAAAGACTGGGAACCTGGATGTAATGTAGTTTAGAAAGTGATACATGCTGTCAACTGTAAACAAAAGACGTTTAAAAAGAAAACTTGGATTATTGATAACAAAGAGACGGTGTCAGCTGTAAGCAAGATTCCAAGGTTCATATGTTCTATCCTGTGGGCAGGGACATAAGCTGTAGGGTGCTGTTGCAAGCCAGTAAAATTCAGGAACCAAACATTCATTTTGGATTCTGAAACTGTGCCTGTATCATGTCACGATAGTGAAACCAGCAACAAAACACAGTGCCCACTCATGTCAATGGGCTTGTTAACTCAGCCCTAATGTACTCAAACTTTTACTAAGCAAGTTCACTTGTGTACCACAGACCTGACTATAGTAGTTGTACTTTGAATATACCAAGGCTACTTCTCTCACATTGGATTTCCTCTCAGTAATAACGCGTTTTACTGTAAATTATGATTTGGCAGCTTTGTGTATTCATGAGAGGAAACACATAATACTGGTAGAAAAATGTGACATGTTTTTTATTTCAGATCAAAGACAAAGAATGGGTGAAAAACGGGGAATGAAAGCTCTGGAAGCGTGGTGCAAGAAAGTGACGGATGGTTACCAAGGAGTCAAAATTGACAACATGACAACTTGTTGGAGGGATGGTCTGGCCTTTTGTGCAATCATACATCATTTCAGACCAGATCTTATGTAAGTATGTTTAATGTTTCCCCATCACCATTCATTTTGTAGCATTGTATGGGATACCATTGCCATTGTGATAAAAGATTCCTGCCTCTGGCAGGAATTGAACCCTGGTCTTGAAAAGTCACTTTATTGCCATAGCTATCTCGGCTTTGTGTGTGGTTGAATTAAAATTCTGATTGATGGCAGAATTTCTATCGGACATAACTTCCTAAACATTCTGTTTCAGTGATTTTGATAATCTTGAAAAGAATGACATCTACCATAACAATGAGTTGGCATTCCGGACAGCAGAGCATCATTTGGGGATTCCTGCTCTTCTAGATGCCGAGGATATGGTGGAATATGAAGTTCCAGACCGTCTCTCCATCTTAACATATCTCTCACAGTTCTATCAAACATTTACAGGCAGTCAACAAGGTTTGTTCAACTTTAACATTTTGAAGCTGAAGCTCATCTAAATAATATTTAAAAATTCAGTCCCTGCAAAGAAAACAAAATACTTCTACATTACAAAGATTAATTGATTAATGCTGTTTAGAGAAGTAATTACTCTTTGTTCTAGGAATCATACAAAATCCACTCTGTGGACAAAATGCAGAGTTAAACAATGTTAAAATAGGTGGTGTATATAGTGACCTGGGTTTTAAAGGGGTCTGTCTCCCATTTGAATTTTTCACTCCAGTATTTTAGACAGTAAATGAATAATTTTCATGAAACTTTGTATCAAGAGCATGCTATTGGAGACCTCCATTATGACACTTTTTAATAGTATATTAACATGAAGGACCAGTACTATTCAGTCTACGTTACTGGCAGCATTGTTAAAAGATACCAAAAATAAATAAATACGTAAAACAGCTGCATTCAGTATGTTATATGTTTGTAATTTCAAAATGTATTTATTAATTTGTTACGCAGGAGCCTCACCTACGAGGTCATTGCCAAAGAGGCCGGTAGCGGAAACTGAGCAAGGAGTATTGTCTCCTGTGTCAGAAAGTCCACCCGGCAAAGTAAGTGTACTTTGCATGTGTTTTGTGTGTGTGGTTTGTAAATACACAGATGCATGTGGTAGCATACTTGCTTGTTTATTTTATTTAAAAGAAATTTAGGATGCTGTTTTTGTTTCTAGTTTATTTGATACCAGATATGAATACTCTTGTATTTTTTCACTTTTTTTCTAAAAGTTTAAAAAGCACATACGAGTACATGTAAGAGGGTACTATTAAAATCAGTTTGAAGTTTAAAGGTTTCTGACAGTGCTGCTTAATGGTGTGTGTAATTATTCTGTCAGACTTAACCACCATCTTAGTGTTTCGAGCCACATCATTTCCAAATCAAAATCAGGTCCAGGTTTGAGGCTAACTCAACCAGGGTCCCATCAGAATAGGCTTTTGTCCTCCCACTGGTTACTTGAAGATGGAAGTACAACCAACTTCCAGGACATGGTTTAAAACCATTTCTATGATTGATGAAATCCAACAAAATAATTACGCACAGTGTTATGTAGCAGTGATTCAGGTGTTCAGGATGCAATACTTATTCATCAAAATACTCTACACCGACAAATAAGATGTACTCAGAATTTGTATAGTGCTTGTAAAGGAAGAATAATAAGAATGAAATTAAGAAATTGAATTTATTGTATGAAAGAAACCAATACAAAAAACCAAAACTTAATAATAAATTATGTGTAGCATTTTGTGCTACCAAAATCAAAGCCTTGAGTATGATTATACCCATTTTTTGATGCAAAAATCATAAAAGAAAATTTTATGTGGCGTTTTAATAAGTGTAGTATGTTAAACACTGCACGTGGTGCTGGTAGCAATGGTGATGGTAATGCTATTGCATGTGGAAAGAACAGTGGAAAAAAAGAGAACATGTTTGATGGGTGAGAATGACGACTGGCTTTTATTATAATTTAATGGAACTATTAAAGTAAAAGGTAGCACATATTAAGATTTAAAAGCAGTAGTTATGGTTTTTAGATTTTGAGATAGGAATTTCTGGGTTTTGTTGTGAAACAGGCTACCTGAGAGGCTTGGGTCCTGGCTACTAGCAACAGTTCACACTACATTGTATAATGTTTAAACAGTGTGGAATATGCCTTGCAGATTTTGTTTGGGGTTTTAGTTCCTGTCTTGCAGTATGTTCAGTACTGCCTGAGAGCATAATATCTTGGGAAACACTCTGCTCGATATTGACACACCTTCTCCCGTAGCCATTTTGAAGCACAGAATGTTGAAGCAAATTTTTTTCTCTTTTATTGAGATATTTTTTGTTTGTTATGATGCCTAATATGTAACTTGCCTTTGTAGATATTGACTACTGACATCTGTCTTTGTCCAGATAAATTACAAGCGTGACTTTTTGACAGTGCATGACATTTGTTGATTATGCATATAATCATTACATGGAAACAGACGAGTATACCAGATGGCTGTCTTCTGGGTTGTTGTGCCATGTAGTCTGGTAGAATTTTACTGTTTCCTCATAAATTGCATGTGTATTCCAGTTAGTCATAGTCTCCTTGATTTTTCTGCCTGAACGGTATCAGGTGATAAAGCTTCTCCACTCTCCACTTATGTAATTTCTCCTCTTCTCGATCCAAGTGGGTCTTGTCACCTTATCATAATATGTATGTGTGTTGTGGATGTCAGGAAGTAGTTCCCAAATGTGGAGGGTTAATGTGAATGTAAACAAGCAGTTATGGACAGCTGACAGGAAGTTCTTTCCAGATTTCAGGCCAGACTGGACTCTTGGATAACAACCTTGTAAAACAATTTTATATCAGGAGACTTTTAACAGTACCTCAGAAGATTGCCATCAAATTAGTATGTAAAACCCATAGAACTGTTAGTTAATTTTTTTACAGTTTATATATCTTATGACCTTCAAGCATCTTGGTGGACTGACTTTGTGCAATGGCACCTATGTATAATGTATGGTATGTATAGTTTACTTTATCAGATTTAGAACATGTTTGACATGTTTATGTTTTGTAATGGTTTGAATTACATTACTAAATCATCGTAGTGGGTACTGGTGTTTGCTTCTTGTCATAGTTGCATGTGGTTAGTTTTTAACTCATATTTCTTGTTGCATGTTACAGTTTAAATTGCATTTATAAGCTGAAAACTGTCTCCAGAGTGCCCTGGCTTTCCCGCCTGTTGGGAAGGCAGTGGAGTGATGAGATTCTGTGAGCTGCAGTTGTTTATTTTTGTACTCCTTAGCTCAGACATCTTTGCATGAATTCTTAGTCTTCACAGTGTACATTTCTAAGCACACTTGCAGGATTAGCCAGTGAATGTTACTGTGCAGGTATGTCTTGAGTTAACACGTGCTTAAATTATAGGTGATCCCTTGGATTGTGCCTCATGTTAAAACGTGTATCACTGTGCGTGTGGAAGAAACCAGGTGTAATGATTTAGACGTAGAGGGTGTATGTAATAGTCTGGACTTGAATTATAGGCAGATACTAGCATATCAATTAGGAATAGGGACCAGGTCTCAAATAGTAATTGCATATTAGGACACAAATTTTATATGGTGGCTGGATATCAAATAGTAGCCATGTAGTATGGTGGCTGGGTCTGATTTAGCACAGAAATTCCTAAGTCAAAGTAATCAAGTAGATTCTAGTGACTTCTCATCAGAAGATTCTGGTGGAACTAGTATTTTACAGAACACAAAAATATGTTTTGTATTTAAATTATTAAATATGTCTAAAATCAGATACTTATTATAATGTCATAAATGTTCTCTTGAGTATCAGCTGGGTACTAGCACAGAACCTGTATGTGCAATATGATGATTCCAAAGTTTCCAATATTTATCATGAGGGAGGCCCATTTATAATTTAGTGGATGATTTTTATTTAAACTAATTCACAGTTCCAAATTTAAGTATTGTGTAATAATGTTGTAAATCTTTTCTTAAATGTTGGGACTTATGTCTTTGCCACTCCTAGTGTAGTAATGTATTGTAAAATTAGATATTGCCTGTCATGCATATCACACTAAGATATAGTGCATAAAGTAGTCTGTGATTAGCATCAGGATAGTTATTTTAATACCATGACAAAGGGTGAAATACTAGTCCAGGCTCATATCCTAACATTTGGAATGTGTAAAATTTATAATTTGAAAATGACAGTAACAAGAAAGAACTCCACATATTTTATTTTATAATTCCACATTTTTAACAGATTTTATGAGTGAGGTGTCACTAGCTGAAATTTGTGGTGGTATTTTGTCACTATTTTTATTCACCTTTTCCTTCTTTCCTTCCTTCCTTTGTCAAGTACATTATCCATTTAATTCATCTAGATGCAGACTCCTCTGCACAGTTAAAGGCCCTAGAGCTACTCTACAGTTTGTATTTTCCAGGTATTCATTTGGATATTATGATGTAAGGTCATGTACTGTCCCTTTAAAAAGGTGATGGAACTATCTACAGTTTTGGCTGTATAGAATTTTTTCTCCCAGTTATTAGCTGCTTAATGTGTGGTGCTTTGAAAATTAAATTTGATGCAGTACCTAAAAGCACTCTAATAGATACAGAAGTGTCAGATCTCAACACACAACTATGTGAGTGAGGCTATTATATAATTTCTCAGTACATTTAATAAAACTGCTTGTATTTGAATCCCATACTGCACAAACATACATGGTAGCTATTTTTAAGTGCTTGTATATCTGCCATAGGTGTTCAATGCAACTGAAGGAAAAGAATAACAAATTAAAACATTGTTGAAGTTGGCTGTCTTCTGGGTTCTTACGTTGTGTAGTCTGGTAGAAGTTCACCAATGTTTCAGAGGCACTTGTGTCATCATCACCACCACCACCCTGGTGATGGAGGGAGCAAATACCTCTCAATCATCATACACTTTTACCAGACTACATGACACTGCAACCCAGAAGATGGTCATCTTCATACTCCCTGCTGTGGAAACCTTAAATCCTACTTAATATTTTGTATTTATTCTCTTACCTCTGTTATTGAGCAAGTTGGTATTACAATAGGCTGATGCTTTAGAGGTACCTAGACTTATTGTCAAACAGGTTACTGACTTGTGACAGGTTTTTTGGGCTTTGTCAGTCTCTCCTGTGAATAGAAGACTATACCATCACATAGGTCACAACTGCCCATCTGCTCACTTTTCGTTGCTTATTTCATCTCATTTGATTCCCTGTCAATGCTCACAGTTAAAACTATTGTTAAATACCCTGAGTATGTTTTAAAGTTTTCCCTGGGGTAGTGCATTTTTAACCTTGGTGTTAGACGGTCAGTGGTCAGCTTTATGCTGTGACCATGTTACACCCTGGGAAAGAGCATCCTGTTCCCATTGAGTGGATCCCGGGGCTAGGCAGGGATATGGTGACAAAGAGAAAAGTCCCAGTCCTGCTGGAAATCACTTCCATGCTATTGAGCTGGAAGCCAGTCACTTTACTGACTGGCAGCTCATTAACTAAGAATCAGTTCAAATTTGAATTTTTCAAGAAATGTCTTGGACCAGTTGATAACATTCAATACTCCAATTCATGCACACAGCTAACCCCACACTGTACTGTTTTATGTCCCCAGGAGGAAAGCTCGGACATAATGGGACAGTATAAACCTGAAATATTCTGCTAGAAGGTAAATGCTTTGTGTATTTGTTTTGCTTGCTTTGCAGTGATGCTTGTCACCATGTTTTTCTTTGCAATTTATGCGAGTGGTTCCCAGACTGTAATTTGTAAATCCCTTCAGGGTAATGCTGGATTTTTGTGTGTTATATATTTTTATATAAATCTGAATATGTTACTTTTATTTGCAACATTTTTTGTTATTGGAAAATGTTCAGCATAAGTAATAAAATAAAAAATAATTTTTTGCTATATGCAAATTAATTCTGTAGCAATGAATTTATATCTCAAGTAAATAAACATCAGGGCCAGTGAATTATGCATAGTAGCTAGGAATATGTTTGAAAAATATTTGTACTCCTTTCAGTGTTTGTTTTTCATGTGTCATTAATGTTTGACAATTTTAGAAAAAAGGCAGCTATGTATGTGCATGCTCTTTTTCAGAAAAAAAAGTCACCTTTTGTAGTCTGTTTCAATTGCCTAATGATTAATTTTTTTTTCAAAGGGTCTGTAATTTGTGTAATACTGTAATGGTTCAAGTGTGTCTCAGATGGGTCAGGTAAAGTAGTGTTGAAGCAGTGAAAAAGATGCATGGAGAATAATTTGTAAGGAAAATAAATATAATTTTTAATGGTATTTACATATTTGAATATTTCTGTGTGTTTGTATAAAGTTTGGGAACCACCAATATTCCAGTTCAGTACTTATTACACTCTGAGGGAATACATTCTGTTTCATATGCACAGGATCACAAGATGTTTACACTATTCTGATTGTAAAAGTCACTGTTATTCATAATAATTCATTTTAAATTGCATTTGTTATTTTACATATATTACTTTCATACTTTCAAAAATTAGATATAACTTTCTTTGGCTGTTCTTATGATTGTATATTCTGTATGTTACAATGGATTTCAGGTAGCTGAACGATTGGGACGTAGGGAACCATGTGCAAAGTGTGGACTTCCTGTATTTATAGCAGAACGTCTTTTGGTAAATGGGCGGACACTTTATCACCGTTCGTGTTTTCGGTGTGCCCGCTGTCAGCACCAGCTCAGTCTTGCCAACTTCTATGAGACAGAAGGGGGAGAGTACTGTTGTGAAACATGTCCAGATGAGATTCTTCACCCATCTAATGTTGAAGGAGACAAATCTCAATTTGCTAGTCAAAATATTCCGATTAACCTTGATATGATAGGACATGCCGGTCCAGAAGATGAGTACAGTGTGGAATTTGAGTTGGCATTGGACACACCAACAGTCCCAAATATTAGCGAGGGCAAAGAACAGGTGGAATTAAAATTTTCTAAAGCTCGTTCTGATTTTATGAGTAGTCAGCTGAGCCGTCCTGGATTACAAGATACAAAAGAATTAAATAGTGTTACTGATCTTGGAAAGACATTGGCAGAGTCTCAACAGTTGGGTATTAATGACAATAAAGATGATGTGTGTTCTTTGCCCTCACATTGTAATGCACTACAGGAAACGAACTTTGACCATACCAGCTACTCTCTTTTAAATTCAAATTCCTTAAACAATGTAGATAACTCAAGAAACAATTTGAGTAGTGAAAGTAGTTTTGTAAATATTGACAGTACACTTTCACATGGCAGTGGAGGTTGTGTACAAGCAAAGTGTTTTTATACAGAGTCAAATATTTCTAACACTGTTGGAGGTAGTTTATTCTCAGGAAATGGTGTTCCTTTGAAAGTTAGCTGTGGTAGTTTAAATAGTGTTGGTGGTGGTACACAGCTCGAAGCTAGAGGTGACAGTATGGCTGTGGAGGACAATCATAATAAAGAGCTGGACTCTTCAGATCTGCCATCTTCCATAGTCAAGATGAGACTGAAATTGTTTGAAAAAAGTGGTGATACAGAAGTTGGTACTAAAGCATCAAAGACCACATGTAATAACAAATGTGCTCTGTATCAAAAGGATGAGACCATCTCAGCTCCCCTGGATATGCTTATCACTAGATCTGAATCTTTTGGACAAACAGATAAAAAGTTACTGGTTGAAGAAGATAAGATTGGACTGCAAGAGGGTCAAGATGGACAAGAGAAGTTGGTTGGTGACACTGATATTTCCAAAGAGAAAAGTTTTGAAAGTGATGAAGTCATTGAAATAGTTGGCTCACCTTTGAAAAATGAATCTCAATCACATACTGGTGACTCAGTTGAATATATAGGTACTGGGTACAAAGTGGCAAATATGCATGAACTTAATAATAGTGACATTCCAAAAGACACAACTGCCATCAGAGTTATGGAGTCTGGTAATATTCAGACAAATTTGACCTTGCCAAAAAGTATGGATGTAAGGCAGAACAGTGATTGTACTTATCCCAAAGAACTTAATCCATTTGGAGATGATGATGATGAACAGACAAACAAACAAAATGTTAGTTATAAGCCATCTGAAACAAAAGTGGCACAAGAAATTAATCCGTTTGGATCTAGTGATGGTGAAGAAGAGATACGGATTACAGTGGAGCCTCCTACACCACCTGTTCCTGTTACCAGAGGGGGAACAAAGAAGGTGCTAGAAGCACCAACAGTGTGTCTGAACCCTTTTTGGAGTGATGGAGAAGAACCAAGCAGTGGGGATGAGAATATTGATTCCACACACATTGTGCAGGCGAAACATCCAGTACCACGGCCTAGGACTGTTGTGTGAGTTATTTAATTTTACCTTTCATTATGTATTTTCATTCTATATGTATCTTTAATAGCCTTGTGTGCTTTTTATTTTGTGAACTATATATACCAGATTTTCAAGGGTCTGACATAGCACAATTCAGATGCTTTTTTTGTACACATTGCATTGTATATTCTTTAAAGTAACTATGCAATCGGTCTCATAGATTCTGTTCACATTTTCAGTTCTCATATTCAAATGTATGTAGTAATGTTTGGTAATGTATTCTGAAACATACTATTTGCTAAGAAAATTGCTCTCCTTGCTGCCATAATGTGTAAAGGTGTTTAACATGACACCTAATTTCAGCATTCTGTAGAGCAGTAAGCTACTGACATCTGTCAAATTATTAACCTCAAATCTGGCATGATGCAAAAACCAATTTCTGGAATTTCTGCTGCCTTTTACAAGAGCTATATAATTAGTAAACTGCTTTCTCACCATGAATGTCTCAAAAAGAGTACCTTACTGTTACATTTAGTTTGATAGAAATAGTTTCCATGTAGTTAACTTACATTAAGTTACAGATGTTTTATGATGAATGCATGAGCTATTTCATATGCAGGAGTGTTACTACTGACCCATGTCCAGTGCCTCGCAAATCATTGCTGACAAGCAGTACTGACAAATTTGGGTCAGTATCATCACTGTCAAGTGTTAGCTCAGCTGGTGGAACCCCAGGTCGAAAGAAAAAGAAGCCTGCTCCAGCTCCTCCGAGAGCCCAAGACCTCTTCCCAGGAACAGTTGCTACTCCATCTGATTACTCATCGAGGGCCTCATCTCCGTGTCCCAGCTTGGTGAGTTAGCAGTATTTATGATAAAATAATTTATACCTACCTACTTACAGCCTTTATGAATTTGGTCATAGTACAGCCTGTTTTAGCTCCATTTATTTGGTCTTGGCAATAGAAATTACTCTGTACTATATACAGATTGGATTTCCTCATCATTGACAATGACGTGGTGGCAAGCCAGGTTCTGGCCTCTGCAGCACTAGCAACCAGTGATAATACTTCCACTAAGAATCATTGCTTTTGTGTGCCTCTGTTAATGCATTTCTCATTCAAACAACCTGATCATTGCTAGACAAAAAGCCAGATAGAAAATTAACTTTGGTGACAGTTGAGACCTTGGATGACATTAGTGCTAGACTTCAACAAGAAATTCTCTTAAATGGCTAGTGCAGGAGACGTCTTTTGAGAAAAAGGGGGCCACAAAGTTGTTGAAATTGTGATCATATGACAATGATAATTCATGTTTTGAAGAATCATTATCCAGTTGTAAGAATAGATTTTTGTTCAGTCTGTACATGTTGATCTGCAGTTAATGATCTTTCCAGTGAGGCCCAATTTTCCTTATATAGAGAGGTGAATTCTCAAAACAATCAGTATTGGATTGCAGTGACATTAATTTCACAAATTTCCTCTTCATGATGAGAAGATTAGCATTTAGTGTGATAAATTGCATGCAGGATAATTGGACCTACTGCTGCCCCTGCGAAGGCGCAGAGGGTTAGCTCCCAGCCGCTTTCCACGTGGCTCTTCCTCTTCACAGTCAAGCAGGATGAAATCCTTTCTGTATTTGTGTTTTCTGAATGTGATGTTTTATTCTCTGACTTGTATCACAGGGATATTCACTTTCTCCAAAATCTTCTCCTCACCATCGCAAGTCTCGTCCAGCCCCTCTTCCACCTATGGCAATACAAGAAACAGCTGCACTCTCATTTTCTGAGGCCAAACTTGTGGTTGCCAAGTCTGAAGATTCATCTTCTCATTCCTCAGAGTGGGAACGTGAAAAAAATAAAAAAGACGTAACAAATCGCAACCGTCAGAGTCAAACCTCAAATACAATCACTTCTGGTAAGTGTAATGGTGAAAGCAAAGTTGTCTCTGTACATAACTGTCACACCCATAAGGTGCATAGTGGAATGCCTGAAGTTCCTTATAGCTTGTGATTGGTCAGTTTCATGTTTTTTTTTATGTCCAATGAAAGAACCTCTGGTACCCACTGAAGAAGTTACTAGTTGAGCTGCAGAGCCATTCTGGACACACCAGTCAGTACTGAAAAACTGAGTTTATTACTTTGTTGAAAATGTTTTTTTGATACTCCGTGCTGTAGGGATTTTCTTAAGCAGTTTTAGGCCGGTCAGGATATTCCCTGCTAATTTGGACCATGAAAATTTATAACATATTCTTCAATAGTGTCCACTGATTCCTTCCAGAATCGATTCACTCCAGTTGGCATATTCACAACTGATTTTTCTTAGATTTACTTTAATATCATCTTTTCTGTATCTGGAAATTTTTAAATAATGTTTTTAAACATTCTTGGTTTGTCAATGTGTATGGGACACCCATTTTGCCATTCTGACTTAAATCTCCCTGTATCAGGGTTCCAGAAATACAACCCGTATCTACTAGTCACTTATTGATATCCATTTACATGTAGTCTCATTGTATATTTCTTACATATTTTTAGGAGAGATTTTTATAGGAACTTGACATTAAATATTAAGAATGTATTATTTTCTTGGAAGGTCCCGTGTCACCAGGCGAACAGCAGCTGATCTTTGGGCCAAACAAGAGTACGTATGGTCAGTGGAAGCGTAAGAAAGGGCCAGCACCTCCACGGCCTGTGCCACAGCGCAGACAGATAAAAGCTATTCCAATGACAGAAGTGAAGAGAGAGCTTGATGATATTGAAGTTCAGCAACAGGAGTTGGAGAGACAAGGAGTGACGCTGGAGGAAACCATTCGTGACAAGTTTGATCAGGCTCCAGTTGCTAATGATGGTGAGCATGAATGTTGAAAAGACCATTTGTGACAGATTCAATCACACTTCAGATGTTAAAGAAAATCATTCATTGCAAGTTTGTTGTGACTTCCTCCAATTTTCAGTAAAATCTCTAGACACTTTTCAAACATATTTTTGTTATTTACTGTAGCACGTAAAGGGTTAACTTGGGCATAAGATTGAGGTGTGTGTTTAGTTCTGCACCCATCCAATTTTGCCACTGGGGAAGAGCTCCTGATAGCCATTGGATAGGAGGCTGGCTGGGCCCTGGAGCCAGTCTGGATGTGGTGGTGATGATAATATTCTCTGCCCCCGCTGGGAATTGATCCCTTATTGTCCATTCTGTAGCTTATTCACTGTGGACTGACTTAGTTACTACCCCTGCTCTTAACCTTATTCTGATCTTATATTATCCTCACTCTTTTTTTGTTGGGGGAGGGGGCAGTCTAACAAATGGTTGCTTTTAAAGAGGTTTTATTACCAAAATTTGTATGCATTTCTTGTCTTCTCCATCCAAGGTACATGTCCATCATACCTCCTAGAGTTCACTGCTGTATCAGTTGTTATAATTTCAATAAGGCAATTTATAAACACATGACTGGATTAAAAGACCTAAATCATATATAAAAGATTAACTGAAGAAAGATTAATGCTATTATTACTTTCTTGACAGTCCTTAACCTGCTAATCCTTCAGTACTTATTAAAAGTGCAGTTTATATATTGACAATTCTATAGGTATCAGCACACTATTAAACCTTTTTATTTGGAACTGTAATTAGTCATTTCACTGTCAAATATCTCTTAGTTCATTCTCTTATGGATGTTTAAAATTGTTTTTATAATATTTATTTTTCATGTTATCTGTGAAAGAACAGCAAATTGCCTTGGGTGGGTTGGTGTTTAGACTATATTGTTTGAATTTAGGAGGAAAAGTTTAAACATTATCAGTTTGAACTCTTGTCTTACAGCTGTGTCATTAGCGTATGATCTCCTCTTCCCTTTCCTTTTGTGCCTTTATTACAGCCAGGGTAATTTTTTATGTAAACTGATTCCTTTAATAGGTGCAGTAGTAAGGTATACTCATGAATTTTGTGTTGGCTTTATCTAAGGATTTATTTTTATTATTATTTATAAGTTTAATTCTTGTTTCACAGACTCCAGTATGACTCCTGATCTTGAAGACTTGGTGTTGCAACTGTTTGAATTGGTGAACGAAAAGAATGAGTTGTTTCGGCGCCAGGCAGAGCTCATGTATTTGTATGTATGATTTTTGTTTCAGCCCAATGATTCCACACTGAACTGCATGAAAATCTTGGAATTCTACAGATCAATTTCTCTAGTGGCAGATATCAGTGAATTTTAATCTAAAAATTGAAATTTTTGGAAGGTTAATTGTGTCAGTTAATTCTGTAAGCTTATGAATCACTGGTGGTCTGTGGACCACACTATGGGAATCTTTGGATTACACTATATTTTCAACAAGAAATGTCACACAACTAAATATGTTGACAAGACAAAGAAAACTGACACTTCATTTTATATCCTTTCCAATTTATCATTCAATCATCCAATTATTTCTTGCTATGTATACTATGATGTTGATAAAGTATCATTAAATAAACCAAGAAATAAACATTAATTATATTAATACTACTGTTACTATGTATGCCAGGCGTCGCCAGCAGCGTCTGGAAGAAGAACACGCAGATTTGGAATACCAGATCCGTTGTTTGATGGATGTGCCAGAACATACAAAGACAGACTCTGATAAAGCTCGTGAGGAGGAGCTGATCCAGCGCCTTGTGGAGGTGGTTGAACGTCGTAATGAAGTAGTGGAATGTCTTGAGATGGACAGGATACGTGAGGCTGAAGAGGATCGTAGCATCCATTCACGGCTTGGCATGTTTTGTGAGTTGTAAATTAGTACCTTAATGTGCTCACAGTGGAATCTTCATACTTGCAAGAATGAGAGTATTTTTTCCTAGGTTTCTTATAAAATTGATTAAAGACTCTCGTGCTCAAAGTCGTATCAGGTGGCTGAATGGTGAATAAACCATATTTTCTGCCAATGTTTCAAGAAACGTTGGCAGAATATACATAGCCCGAGAGTCTTTCATCAACTTCAGTCGCTGCAAAAGCTTCATTTTTGGAAACAAAATTACATTCTTGTATTTACAAAACAGAGAATAAGATGTGTAAAATTCAAGTCATATTACCGAATTAGGTCAGCCGAGACTTGGTTTGACCAGTACACATATTTAATCATTTTTATTTTACCCTCTGTGGGCATAATGTGGTTGTTTTGGACAATATTGTTTAAACTATATTTAATACACATGATATTTTGGGAGATGGTTGTACTCCTATCTTCAGGTGATTGACTATGATTATACTAATACCCTTCCCTTCTCCTTTGAATGTTGATGAATATTAGGGGTAGTGATCAGAGTTGAACCTGAAACTGTTTGAATCTCAACCTCAGATCCAGTCCACTAAACTTCAGGGGTGAAATCTGAATTGCTGCACTAACAGCACTAATATCATCATCTCAGTAAAATAAAAACAGGTGACCTGAAGATGGAAACAGATCCAATTGCCAATATGTTATATGTATCACGCATTCAAATCTGAATTCATATTTGGTTTGTCAGTATGTCTAACTTGTCAACCTTCTTCAGTCATAGAAAGAAACGACATTCTGGTCAGGCTATGGATAGCAATACTACCGCCACTAAAACATTAAGTGTTTGTGACATAAGCATTGTCCTGAAGTGTTTTGCAGTATTCTGCCTTGTTTTCTATCATGATATGCTTCCTGATTTTCTCAAATGTAAATATGATATGTAATTAGGAAAATAAAATATTCTTATTAAATTTGTTTCCACTTTTCAGCCAAAGGAAAGATTTTGTACCAAGAGGAATTTACTTATTCAAAATCTGATTATGGAAAACTGAAGAAAAAGAAAAAAGACAAAGATAAATATAGTAACATGAAAGCTGTGAAATCTGGCCTTGATGCAGATAAAGACATAGATGAGAGAGAAGAAGCAATGCCAAAATATATGAAAGAGAAGAAGAAGTCAAAGAGAAAATGGTTCTGAGATACTCCTAACCTGAAAGGGTTTGGACAGTACTTTGGATGAGTACACAGATACTTAAAGCCACTTTCTCAGCAGGTTCCAGGAATTGTATATTCTCTTTTATCCAAAATAATGCGACTTATATCAACATGGTGATTATGAATATGTCAGAAGTATGTGGAATGAAATGGTTGTGACATATTTTAAAGCACTGTCCCTGTATTTGTAAGAGGAATATGAAAAATGTTACATAATGAGCAGCTTTATAGTTTATACACATAATGTAATATTGGTACAGTGATTGTATCAAGGAAGACGAAATGCACACAAAATTTTTTGTTGGAAATCATGGAAGGGCAGAGATCACTTTGTGACAGTGTGTAGATGAGAGGATAATATTAAAATGGGTCTTACAGAAATAGGGTGTGAATGAATGGATTGAATTGAAGTGGCTCAAGATAGGTTTCACTGGTGAACGTGGAAATGGGGCTTCTAGTTCCATAAAAACATAGAATTTCTTGACCAAGAACTGGATACTTTTCAAGAAAAATTCTGCACCAGAGTCTTTGGTGCAGGATCTTTCTTGTAAAGTTTATTAATTGGTTAGTCAGATAAAATTTTTTGATCAGCAGAATAGCTGCTATGTGTTCAAGGAAGACCGTGTACCATAGAGTTAGTTCTGATAATTTCTGAAGGATTTTAGAATTGTTTGCAACACTAAAATCAGTACAGTGCCATTATAATGTACATAAAAGAATGGAAGTGAGGACATACCATGTTCATCTTCATCTTTTAGAAGTGTTGACTTGAAGACGCAACAATAGGACCACGTGATTTTGGATTGAGAAATATATCATGTACATACATTGTTGTAGAAAAGAAATTCTGTACAGAAATAATGATAATTAAAAAACTATTTTCTTATTCATATGTGAATCTTCTTTTTGCCATATGCCATTGCTATGTTCTAGCAGTGAAAACTGCTTAATGTATTGTACACAAATGCTACATTCTGTACTTCTATAGAATTTTTCAGCAGTGGTAATGGATTTGTAGCAGAATGTCTGTCAAGTCAGAAGTGCAGCAAATAGCCGTAATGTATGAGTACAGCTGTGCTGTTGGGTCTAAGTATGATTAATAAATTTGACTTGGTTCACTGTACTTTGGCTGGTGTGAAAGTGTTGTCACCATCAATATGTGATCATCTAAGGATTCCTTCAGTGTTTGAGTCTTAAGAGTATTTAATGATTCTGTTTCATCTGCAGAGGTTATAATATAGTGCTTTTATATGTATGGTATCAAATGAGATGAGGGAGTTATCCTCAGTGATGTGTAGGTAAAATTTTGAATAAGATGGTCAATATCTATTTGAAGGTAAAAGCCCAGAATTGGCTTACACTGAGCAACACAAGAAAAATCGCAGGATGACTGTCAGCTTAAATAAGTTTTGAACATGTATCTCACAAACAGATCTCTAGAGTGTGTCTGCTACATGAACATGCAAGGTCCTTTCATTACTGTCACCCATAGTATTGTACCTTCAGGTTCCATAAAATGATGGTAATTTCTTGACTATGTAAGTGTACTATTAGCTTTTCAAGGACTCACCTCCATGGAGTGATTTTGGTGGAAAACCTGAACAGAATAGACCATTTGGGAGATATTGTTCAGAAAATGGATAAGTAGGAGGCTCCTGCAAACCTCTTCATTATAATTAACATTCTTGACCAGTTTAGCAAATACTATATTATCAAAGATTCTGTGCCACAATTAAATGTCACAAAATTTATTTACAGTCTTTTAACATTTTATATCTGTACAAGAGACTATTGGGCATGTTTTTTTAATAACTCAGTATTTAGTTCTACTTATCAAACCATTTAATGCATTGACTTTATTCATGGC